GTTTTTACACAAAGTCAGAAATGATCAAGTTGCATATTTAGTCTTGTTATTTCTCTAAGATTGAATTGCTTAATTATCCTCCATAAAAACATTTTTTAAAAGGTGATGAGCTAAAAAGGTTCTAATAAGAGCGGTGTGTGTATATTTCTGTAGGACCACTATGACTGGGGTCTCCGAGCCATCAAGTCAGTCCTGGTGGTGGCCGGCTCTCTGAAGCGAGGAGACCCCGGCAGAGCTGAGGACCAGGTGCTAATGCGAGCTCTCAGAGACTTCAACATTCCGAAGATCGTGACCGATGACATGCCTGTTTTCATGGGACTAATAGGAGACTTGTTCCCTGCCTTGGACGTCCCCAGGAAGAGAGACCTGGACTTTGAGAACGGCGTGAGGGAGTCCATCCTGGACTTGAAGTTGCAAGCCGAGGACAATTTTGTACTAAAGGTGTGGTTACTCCCTGACCGTCTTTGGGGTTATCTGCTGCAGTTTATCCAATTGTATTTTCATTACAGCTGAATAAATGAAGGACCCGTATGAGTGTAAGTCAGTTGCAAAGCTCAGGATGAAAGCAAACATAATCACAAGTTGTCTGAGAAGCATGAGCCAGGTCCCCAGATGGGGGGGTTTCATCTTTAACAATTTAGATAGATATTACAGTTGTAGCACTTTCATTTAGATTGATCTTAGTTCTTTCCAAAAGCTGTTTACCTCATGTCATAATGTTCCACTGGGAAATACACATTAGTGTCAAACAAGACACCAGCATCTGGATGAATTGGGCAAATATTGCTGAAAACCAAGGAGAGTTCAGGTGCCCAAGCTGATGACCTAATTCTAGTCATTATATTACATACAGATACACACATACAGACTCTCAATAGAAGGCATTGTATGTCAGAGACAGATGTACGCAGGACCAGGGGAAATAAGTGCAATCTGCCTCAGGTCAAACAGACACGGAACCACATAATAACACTCCATCAATGGAGGCTCGCGCTGCACCATGCCACTTAACCCTGACATTGTGAGAGCCAGCCACAGAAATAAACAAAGAGGAGGAGAAACAGAGCAAGAGAGGGAGAGAATTGCAGAGCGGTCAATAACAACCGTCCACACCCAGAGCCTGAACTTTTACTGTTTGTGTAGCAAACCTTTTGATTTCAGACCGTTAAGGGGGGAGGGCAAGAGCATACCTTTAGTGTTAGCCTGTGCTAGCATTAGTCCTCTGCACATCAAAGCGGTAATCAGCCAGGGTCTTTGAGAGTGCAAAGCTGTCTGTGCTCTGGCTGAATGGATGTGGAGAAGGAGCCCCAAGAAGCCGGGTCGATGGCATTGATTGGGTGTATGTTAGAGCGGAAATGGGGAGGAAATATCTTTCTCTCTTTTTTTTTTTGTCTCTGTCACTCTTTTTTAAATCACTCTGTGGTGTCCACGCATACTGAATGTGTTAACCCAGAAA